GGTGTGAGAGCGAAAATGCGCGGGGGGAGTTGCACCGTTAGTCGACTTTCGACCACTATAGGCGCGGAGCCTAAACGTGGTTCTTCTGTCCGCATAAGATTGGCTTTCGTAACCTAGTGGCGGCCACTTCCGCTGTCGCTAATAGGCGCTGGCCTACTAGCTTAGGGCAGCTCGATCGGGCCTTATAAATCACACAAAAAGCTTCGTTGGGGTCCACACTATATCCGGAATCGGCAACATGCGCGAAAATGGCGCTGTTTATGCTCCTCGTTTCGCCTTTTCCCAGCCATGCCGGGAGGTGTTCCCGTATTCTCTTGCATAAGCGCCGACTCGTGCGACCCATATTACCCGTACTATAGTCGAACGTAAATTAACACCCACCAGAACTGAAGTACCAAAAACAATGCAGCGAGGTTCAGCTAATGTCCTTCCAACGACTTTTATCGTTTATGGCGTACTTATTATCACCAGACACAGGCCAATCCAACTTCAGGTCATTGAAGAGAACCTAGGTCGCAAGCCTTGTTGTAAATGGATAGTAAGTTCTGTCTTTGAATTGCTGGCACTAGTACCGAGTAATACAATTGGCAGTATTCGCATTATGTAGATCAGGTGCCGGGGTCACAGAGACTACCTGAGAGTGTTAGTAATCCACCACATGGGTAATTTGGTTAACATGACATTTTGAAAAAATCGCCTAGTTTTTACTGCGTGGTGAACTGAGGCCTGTGGAACAAAACCGGCAGAATATATTGCAGATCGCATCAAGTCAGACCCATGAAAGTCACCTCCCTGTAATATGTTAGAAATAGCGCGGTTCCCCCAAGGAACGGAGTCAAGAAAGGTTTTTAACTATGGACAGTCAACGGAACCGCCCTTCTATTTCCCATTAATATGTCCCAGAAGACGAGAATAAGATGGTGAACTGCTGAAGAACTAGGGCAGTGATTTAAAGCCCGAATATATTGCCTCAGAAATGTCCACATAGGGATTTCACGGCAATAAACGTAGCTGTGCTGCTTTGGATCGTTCAGCGTCAAAGTGCCAGGAAACCTGGTATTTTTTCACTTACACGATGAGAAAAAATAGTTCCTGCAGCAGCTTCTGAGTTGGCATCTGCCTACGACTGGTTCCTGTGGTTAACGCAAGTAGGTATATTTCTCGGTAACGCAGGCGGGTTGCAGAGGATTGGAGTGCTGAAGAAACAGTTAACAAAAATTACCTGTATAGCCTGAATAAGCGCAACCATAAACACAAGTAACCTTGAACAACGTTTTGTAACTCCCGGATATTCTCAGGCAGTCACAGTTCAATTCCAGGTTCAAAAAGCCTAACATTAGACTTCAAGTCCTCTTCTATGTGGCGACCTAAAGTCAGCGCACAAAGGCTTAGGCACAGACCCTCATTCTTTTAGATGCAGGAAATGTTGCCCTCACATGGATGCGCAGTTCAGCGATTTGGTTTTCTTTTAGGAAACACTGCATTGGTTTCCTTCCGACCTGCGGCTCATGTTAGGACTCTGGTAGGTAGCCGGTGAGGTAAAGTGTGACCACGGTCACTGTGCGAGGGTGTTTCCCTGGGGTGGAATAGTGAGCGTCCAGCGTCCAGAAGTGAGCAGAATGTAACTTGCGAATTCCTGTCTTGTATGAGTCGACACCCAGTGAGATTTGCTCAGTGGTCTCCCACATGACAGTCTGGCAGTCGTGGGCGAAGATGTCTACCGTGAGCCTCACGGAGTGGGCGTGGGACGGTGATTTGCAGGCGGACTTGCGCAGAACCTACCGCATTCTTTCCCCTCCCACCTACAGTGCTTTGATGGCAAGAAAATGCCAAGACGACCGGAGGTAGTAGGGCGCAGTGCTTAACAAAGTCAAACAGCCCATCTACGCCTGTCGAACTCGACCTGGTCCCCACATCATGTGCCAGACTTTCGTTAGGGCGGCTGGGGTCTCACATGAATGAGAAATCTATGAAGACCCTATTAAGGAGCTAATAACATCTGACCCTCGAACTTAGGAACAGTCAGCCTATTTCGTCGGTTGGAAACCTTCCAAGCCATGACTCCTAGCGCGTAGTGATAGGTTCAGGCGGATCGTATCTTTTATAATGAGTGATGCAGTGATCTAAAAGTGAATCTCCAAATGCTGTCCTCACTCTTCTCCCGCCTACCATGCGCCGGCCGACTGTCCGAGCCTGTCAAGCATCTGCTGCTGCGTGATGCAATGGATGACGCGGCGTGAAGGTCTACGCATCATACCTACATATATATATATATATATATATATATATTGCATGTCTACCACCACATGCCTGTCATGTTCATCAATAGTTATGGACTCGGGCGAACTCTGAGCTGCATTCCGTGGGCCAATCTGACGCCCCTTGTGATCCAGCACATCTACTGTGTGGCCCACTGTGGGTCCAATCACTGGCCTCCAAAATTTGCATCAGAATCGACATGATTAAAAAGGCTGTCCGCTTAGTAGTGTCACGCTTAGAGGAAGCCCCGTTAGTGTTTGGTGATAACAGTAAATATATATATATATATATATATATATATAGGCAGAATGGTATTACCGACAAAGACAAGGGAGACTGGAATGGTCATTTCTGGCTTA